CTGCAACCATTTTGCATTCCACTGTAAGAGGGGGCAGATCTGGAGTTGGAGTCTCCTCCTTCTCCTCTCAAACTCTGCTCAAGCGGTCTGAACCTGCGCACGCAAAGCGTAACAGATGCCATTGAACGAAGAGATTCAAGTCTGTCTCCTTAACCACTCGGACACTTGAGCAAAGCTAGGCCTATTTCTAGGCTGTACTGAGCACACCGGGCAAACAGTGCAATTATATACGGCCAGCCGTGTACACCCTGCATGAACAGCCGTCTTCTGTACCATGCAGTCAAAGCAACAGACAGGAGCTTAAGTCAGCAAGTGAATACCGCATGGACCTTCTGTGTGCACTGCAGCTGGCCTGCTACCCGCAAACTTGCGTGTCAGGTTGAAAGAAAAGGAGAACCAATGCTCAGCCGGGGAAACCAGCAAAAGCTAGTGACCGCACCCAGGTTTGAACTGAGGACCTTATCCGAACCATTGAATGTTAAGGATACGTGATGACCAACTACACCATGCAGCCCGCTTGTATGGCTGACCGGTAAAACTGTGCGTACAGAACTGACTGCCGGCCACCTCCATCAGTCCCGTGTCCCTTCCTCGTCGACCAACTTTCGCCTCGCACTTCTCCCGCTACCCACTCTGAGCGCTTCGCCCGCCATGGACGGCTTCTCGCAGCCAGTCTACACGCAGGCCATCCCTGCGGACGCCTCGCAACAGTCTGCGCCCGCGACCCAACTCGAACAACCGGTCGCATCAACCTCGACCGCGCCTGCCACCATTGCACCCGTGAGTGCCGCCGCTGCGAGCGCACAGGTCGAGCCGCAGCCTGTCGACCCGCCCATCAGCGAGAATTCGGCCCCGCTCCAGCCAGGACAGGCGCGCCTGTTCCCTTTCCCAGAGCAGGACCCAAACGCTCTCCCTCTCACCGGCTTCGCGTCCGTTCCTGCCCGCGCCGCCGTCTTGCCCAACGCTCAGCCCTACACGCGCCCGCCGCCGTACGACCGGCCAAACGTTGAGCTCGGCAAGGGCCTCAGTCGCGACCCTCCGCCCCGCAGGTTCGTCTCGGAAGCCGACATCAAGGCGAGCCACACGGACGGGCATGGAGATTTGGTCAGGCAGCCGGGCGTTGTGCGAGAGGAGGAGATTGCGACGTTGACGGTCGACCAGCTGAGGAAGATGGGACTCGGGCGGGCGCCCTCAGGTGAGCAGGCGGAGCGGCTGAGCTGTCATTCTGCGTCTGGACACGCTCAGCTGACAGTGCTTGGGGTCGCTGGCCTGCAGGCTTCTGCTATTCGGCACGGATGACCCTGCACGCTCCGCTGCCCAAAACCGTCGACTCGAACGACCCGCACCCTGAACAGCCGGCTCGCATCACCGGCATCTTCAACAAGCTACTGAGTGCGTGCAGATGATTCATGACGACGATTCTGAGCTGATGATGATTTCCTCGCAGACGGCGGCTTGACGTCGCGAATGGTCAGGGTGCAGGTCAGGGAGGCGTTGCGGGAAGAGGTCATGCTCGTTCACTCGGAGGGCCACTGGGAGCGGGTGAGGGCGACAGGCTGTACGTTCGCCTTTCCCGCCTCTTGCCCGACGCCCTCCATGCCCTTCCGCGCCTCACCTTCCCAACTGACTTTCGTGCCCTCATCCCGCCTCACAGTCCAGACGATCGAATACCTCGAGACCTGCAAAGAGTTCTTCGAGCGCCTCTCGCTCTACGTCAACCCCGACTCCGCGTTCTGCGCTCGCTTGTCGTGCGGCGGTGTGATCGAGATGGCTCGCGCGGTGGCTGAGGGACAAATCCGCAACGGTTTCGCGATTGTCCGGTGCGTCCACCTACTCCTACTTTGTCCGCACGAGGGAGGTCGTGCTGACGGGATCGAGCGGCGCAGACCACCCGGGCACCACGCAGAACCTGAGGAGGCGATGGGCTTCTGCTTCTTCAACAACGCTGCCGTCGCCGCCAAGTGGCTTCGCACTGTGTACGGATCGGGCACGCAGAAAGACGTCAATGGGAAGGAGATCAAGATGAACCGCATTTTGATCCTGGACTGGGACGTTCACCACGGTGAGTCTCTTGGCGGACCCTATACACCGCATTGTCCTGCTCGAGACTGACGAGTTCGTCGACGACGCAGGTAACGGCACGCAGCGAGCTTTCGAGGACGACGACGACATCCTGTACATCTCGCTGCACCGTCACGGCAACGGCTTCTACCCTGGCGGAGACTACGGCGCGCTCGAGTCGGTCGGGTCGGGGAAGGGTCGCGGATTGTGCGTCGACCGTGCTCGCGCATGGGGCGCTCGACATTGACACGCTGACCTTGGTCTTCGAACGCTAGCTCCGTCAACATCCCCTTCATGAACGAGGGAATGGGCGATGCAGACTATCTCTACGCTTTCCAGAACATCGTCATGCCCATCGCATACGAGTACGCCCCCGACCTGGTTATCGGTTCGTCCCTCTCCCTTTTCCCTTCTTTCGCCAGCTAACGAAAACCTCACGCAGTCTCGGCGGGATACGACGCGGCCAAGGGTGACGAGCTGGGCAAAATGAACGTCTCGCCGGACGGCTACGCTCACATGACGCACATGTTGTCGGCTCTCGCAGGTGGAAAGCTGCTGCTAGCGCTCGAGGTGCCTCAGGTTTCCGCGTTTCATACAGCTCGCCTGCTGACACGATTCGCGCAGGGCGGCTACAACGTCAACGCTATTGCCGAGTCGGCCTACGCTTGCGTCAAGGTCATCGTCGGCGACGAGTTGCCCGTCATGAGCTCGATCGGCGCCGCCTCGCTCGCTGCGACGAACACGGTCCACGACGTGCGGAGGATGCAGGCGCAGTATTGGAAGTGCATGGGCGAGGCGGTATTGAGCCAGGAGGAGCTGAGTAAGGCGGGAAAGATCGAGTCGCTGTCGGGTGCGTTCGCTCCCTCTTTGCGGGGTGACTACCGGCTGAACAGGTCTCGCTCGGCAGAGGTTCTCAAGAAGCACCGCTTGTACGAGCTCTGGCACGAGTACGGCCTATTCGACGTCGAGTTCAACTCGCCTACACTCGAAGAGGCGTACAGCAACCAGCTTCTCGTCTCGTGCGTTTCGTCCTCGCTCACTTGCGATTCTGGCTGATCAGTGCGTGTGCGCAGCGAAAATGTCTACGACGCGGCTGTCCTGTTGCTGTTCATGCACGACCTCGGGTCGATGAAGGCTGCGTACACCGCCGCAACTCTCGACAGCGACCTCGAGCGGACACAGCTCGTACGTACCCGGCCAGCTCTACCGTCTCGCACGGTCTGATCTTTCGTCGTGCAGCTCGATACGAGTCGCGAAGTACTTGACTGGGCCATGGAGGACCACGACTTTGGCGTCATCGACGTCAACCTGCTTGCGCACCTCGCGACGGTCAAGGGCCAGCCCGTGCGTCTCTCGTCGCTCGAGCAATCGGTTTGAGCTGATGTTCTCTCGCGCCAACAGATCGACGCGAAGCGGGACAAGGCGCGAGAGAAGGAGTTGGCGCTCTACGTCTGGGACCAGATTGTCGGGTAAGCCTCGATCGCTGCCTTGTCATGACTGCTGGCTGATGACTTGCGGTCGTGCAGGATGTCGTCCGCTCAGCATGTCATCCTCTTCGGTAGCGGCGCGGGTTGCAATGCCTTGATGGACATCGTTCGGAACCGCTGTAAGTCGGGCTAGCTTCTGCTCGCCCAACTCAGAGCACTGACACTTGCATTTGCGGCAGTCGGCCTCGTCCACGAGCGCGTCCGTGCGTGCGTTTCGGTTCTCGGACACGAGCACCCGCCTGAGCTCGAGGCGTCCACTGGCGCTCGCAACTGGTACAAAAACGTGCGTGAGCGCCTCCAGCATTCACCGCTCTCTGCTCACGCCGTTCTACGTCCCCGCAGCACTCGCTCGTCCTGCTTCCTTCGACTCACCCGCTCCAAGAAGACGCTCGACGAGCCGGCAAGCACCAGAAGAAGTTTGGCAACGTCTACCGAGCGAGTGCGTGCATCTCATGTGCTCTTCTCCCGCCTTACACTGACTCGCGCATCTGCAGCCGCCGAGGACGAGTCGCGGCCAACCCACCTCCTCCGCGCCTCCATGCCCAAGATCAAGGAATTCATCGCCGAGCGCGTCCCGATCACCATCGCCCCCGCCCCCGCGATGTCCAGCAGCTCCGGCGGCGACATCGAGATGGCAACGCGGATGGCGTCGGTCGAGCCCACGGGCGCACCTGTACCTGCAGCACCAGCTGCCGAAGCGAACGGCTCGGGCTTTGCGCCTCCAGCACCCGCACCAGCGGCCTGATACCTTTCTCATTGACCTGCTTCCGTAGTGTTCTCGCTCGCTTGTTGTAATGGATTCTCGCTACACTACCTCGGGTGCTTGAGATACGCTGCAGAGCTGCATTCCGCTGTCTACTCCTTCCCTCTGAGTCGCCTGATCCCCTTCGCTGCTACCGCCCATCCGCCTAGCGGGCTGATGCCAATCCGCCACACCCAGAGCCTGACGATTTCCTGCAGCCTCCTTGCGACTCGCTCCGCCTCCTGACCCGGACTCAACAACGTCTCGTGCTCGCCTCTTGCGTTCCCATCCTCGACAAAGCGCCCTCGGGCAGCCGCCCATCTGCGTCGCTGCTCGATGCGGAATCGCACGACGCGCTTGAGGACTGCGCAAACGAACAGGAGAGGCGGAATGGCAAGGTTGAAGGGCGACGGCAAGGGCGGAGTCGAGAAGGCCGAGGCGAGACTTTCAAGCCGCCGTTGACCACCCCGGCCGGATCCGAGCGGGACGTAAGTGAAGTATCGGTTGACGGCGAGACGTTCGCGACGCGAACGGAAGGCGACCTCGCGCCCGTAGCGGTCCCAGCCGTCAAGGTCATCGAGCTCGCGGCGAGGTGAGGAGAGGTGAGCCGACGCGTGCGCGGGTTTAGGGGAGACGGAAGGGCGGCCGCCGGAGAAATAGGCGAGGACGGCGCCAAGGACCAGGGTGAAGGCGAGAGTTGTTCGAGCTTCAAGAGGCGTACGAGAAGCGTTTGTGGCGGTGGCGGAGACCTGAGCCGAGTCGCGGAAAGTCGCCCAGCTTTGTAGGGGGACGAGGGGGAAGTGCATGAGGTTGAGCAAGACCGAGGGATAGTCGATGTCGCCGCTCAAACTCCAAAGAGTGAGCAATCCGAAGACGGCAAAGTAGGTCGAGAACTGCACAAGTCCGCCGAGATGCGACTCGAGACTCCGCAAGGCACGGTGACTCTCCGGAACTCGCTTGGGTGGTGGTCGATAGCCAACGTCGCGCCTCTTCCGCCCATCGCGGATCTTGCTCCACTCCTGGTGCGTAGGCGTGCCGAAAGAAGGGAGGTTCTGTGGGAGTACGCGGGAAGCGGCGAGGAATGGGATGGACCAGGCGAGGAGGGAAAGCGAGGTGGCGAGCATGAAGGTCGGGCGGTGTCGGGGCGTGGCAATGTAGAAGGCAAGGATGCGGAAGAGTAGAGAGACGAACACGAGGGCATGGTGAAGAAGGGGGAGAAGCGTCGAGGGCGAGAGGGGGAGGGATGATTGCGGTCCTCGGTTGAGCTGCGCGCATGTGAGCGTAAGTATGCGTCGAGCAGGCGCCTTAAGCTCTTTGGCCGCTCACCCATGCTCGGCCAACTTCTCCCGCCCAGCCAAACACTCCAGCGACCCAAAGCCACCAAACGAGCCACGGGATGAGGCCCCATCCCTTCGTTGGGCGGGCGCCCGATCCTTCGGGAACGCGTATGATATCGGGTGCCAGTGGGTTGAAGGCATAAAAGTGCGAGTAGGCGGAGAACATCAGAATGTAGACGGTGATGAAGGCGTGAACGGTCGAGAGAATGTAGGTCTGATTGTGTAAAATGCTGCAGACGAGCGAGTCAGTCATCCGCAGGGGCGTCGCGTCTTCGAGAGGGAGTGGCGCACCGAGGGACAGAGAAGCGGTCGAGCCGGATAAACGACTCCTTCCAACTTAACGAGCGGACGCCCCGCTTCGGCGCTGGCAGAAGTCCGTTTCGCCAGACGTACTCGGTACTTGCGAGGACGACAGGGTGGGAGACGAGGTCTTCGGCTTCGACGAGGGGAGCGGAGGAAAGGGTAAGGAGGAGGTCGAGGGCTGCGAATAATGCGTCAGTTGGCGAACGGCAGGCGAGGACTCCCGCGACTCACAGCACGTCGCTCGGTCCATTGAGTCGTAGTGTAGAGGAAAATCGCGGAAGAGCAGCGTGACGAGCGCATCCTCGTCGTCGTCGTCGTCCTCCCCTTGATGGTGATGTCGCGCATCTCCCGTCACGAGGTACGAATCCAGCAGGCCCTCCACGACCGCGTACATCCGCTCGCCCAGTTCTCGCCGCGCCTTGAACATCCGCAACTCGCCGTCGACGCCTGGGTCCGTCTCTTCCACCGAGCCGCGATACTCCGCCTGGAGCGAAATGAGGAGGGAGAGGAGCGCAGCGAGGAAGAGGGCTGAGGGGGAAGTGATGACGGTCGTGTCGAGTACTTGGCTCGAAAGAGGTGAAGGGCGAGCAGGAAGAGTGTGGCTGCTGCTTGTCGAGGCGTTCGAGAGGGAAGAGGCGCTCGACGAGCTGTGCGCCAAAGGTCCGCCTCGCCGTCCTGTCGGCGTCACGGCAGGCCTGTTCGTCGACATGATGGACCCCGGGAGAACAGGCGTCTCTGCCCCGTTCGTGCTGAACCCGTTCGCTCCTCCGGACGCCGCACCGTTCCCTCCTGCGTTCCTGCTCAGGTCCGGCAAGTACTTGTCCAGCACGCGCCTATGCCTCGGCACTCCAAATACACTCCGCAAGAAAGCGATTTCCGCGTCCGCCTCTTCGTGCGGCATGTCCGGAGGGAGGGTCGGCAATCCAGGCGGAACGACGTAGCCTCTCTCGCTGAGCTCGGCGAGGAGGGCGAGGACCATCCCTTCGATCGCGATGTCATCTTCTGTGAGGATCAGGCCGGCTGCAGAGTTCGGTACGGGCGCAGAGAGCGTTGGACGAGGGTGGGTCGTCGGTGCCGAGGTGGTGGAGGGCAGGCGACTCGTCGAGGGCGCGCCGGACCCGCCTGCTTGGCTAGACAGCAGCGGTGTGCGCTCTGAGGCGGACATGACACAGTCGCAGCCCGTGCGAGCTGACGAGGTAAAGGGAAGCAGAATGACGAGTCGTCTCTCCAACAAGTCGAGCAGTCGGGATGGTAAACGAGTGAATGCAAAGGCGAGCTGTTTGCGTGCTGCTGCGAGAGTGTATGGCACAGTAGGGGAGTGGTACGTCTAGCTGCAAGGGGGGAGAGTGAGAAGGGAAGAGAGGTAAAAGCGAGTTGCGAGGAGAGCCTCTGTGGGTCGGCTCCGTCAGGTGGACATGCGATTTGGAGGTATGCGCGCGAAGGGAAAGAACGACGAAATAGGCATAGACGAGGGGGAAAGTGCCGAAGAGGGCGGGGAAAGTCGAAAGGCGAGAGGAGAAGGCGAAAGGAAGGGAAGAGGGTGTTCATGCCGGGTCAAGCGGCTTGTTGAGGCGCGAGAGCCACCACTTGGTCTTGCTCAGGAGCGTCGACTCGAAGGTGTCGAGGAGGGCGGCGGTGACGGGGTGGTTGGGCGTGTGCGTGAGGTGGTAGGCGAGGCCTGTAGGTCGCAAGCAAGAGTACAGTCAGCGATGTCCACAACAGACGATTGCACCAACAAGACCCAATCGCGAGACGCACCGGCACTCTGCTTAAACTTCTTCGGACACCTCGCGATCGGGCACTGCAACTCCCTCCCGCTCGGCTTGATCTCCTGCTTGAACTTTTTCGTCGCGCGCTCCTGGCCCGTCTGGTCATCGCGCTCGAGGGCGACGATGAAGTGACCGTTGGCCGAGGCGTTCTGGAAGTGGAAGCGGAGGCCGGCGAGCGATTCTGCGAGACGAAGCGCATCAGGACAAGCTCGAGCGTGGAAGGGGAAGAGGCGAACGCACTGAAGGTCTTGTCGCACGGGTCAAGCGCACACCTGAACGGCATCTCCATCAACAGACTCTCCTCGTCGCCATTCTTGAGCTCGTCCGCGCGGTCCTTGTGATACCGCGCATTGTGCTCCCTCAACTCCTTGATGGTCCTCCAACTCAACTCGATCCTCGGCGGGGCATCGTCGTCGTCCTCTCCCTCCGCATCCACATCCGACTCGCCATCGTCCTCCGCGCGCCCTTTACCCTTCAAGTCGGCCAACACCTCCCTCTCGACCCGCCTCCGCTCCGCCCTATCAATCACACACCAATTACACCCGTAAGGCTTGACGCTCGGATCGTCCTCAACAGCCGGGATCTCCGTCTGCCTCCTCGCGAGCCCAGTCGCAGGGTCGATCGCACCGGGCATATGGACCTCGCTGTATGCCGCCGGGGACGCGCGTTTCCTGCCGCGCGAAGTCGAGCTAGAAGGTGTAGAAGACCCGCCGCGCGCGGTACGGTCGAGCGACGAGCCAGGCGTAGGCGTCGCGCTGCTTGTCCCCGTCCCGCCCGGCACGCCCGTCGCAGAAGGAGGCGGTTTGGGCGCCGCAAAGCCCGGTACCGCGCTCGCCTTCCTCGTCCTCTGCCTTCCCCTCCGTCCCTTCTTTGTCCCAAAGTCTCCATCAGCCGAATCGTCGCTCTGGTACGGCAACTCGGGCGGATCATCCTCCCTGTAGGTGATCTTGCCCTGCACGCCGAGTCCGAAAGCCGGGTGGACGCCGAGGTGGCCGTAACCGAGGTGGGCGTAGTATGCGCCCAGAGAGGGGATGTAAGGGTCGCCTGGGTTGTAGCCTTCTCCTCCGAGGGGTGGCTGCGGCGGAGGCGGAGGAGCGAAGCCAAAGGCTGACGGAGTGGTGGTGGACGAGGGAACGACGGACGACGAAGCAGCGGGTGTTGGAGCGCCAGACGCGGGAGAAGGTTTGCCCTCGACGTCGGACTGGTGCGCCGAAGTCGCAGGCGTGAGGTAGTCCTCCGCTCCACCTCCCGGCGCACCACCACGCAGCAAGTACCCCGCGACACCACAAATACTCGGCTCGTCCTCGTCGTTCCCCGCGCGCCTCACGCCATCCTCCTCGTCGTCCTCTGATCCGTCCGCATCGCTCGCCGTCGTGCCCGAAACCGCATCGTCGTCCGCCTGCCTCTGCGCCTGCCTCTGCGCCTGCCCCTGCGCTTGAACCTGTCGCTGCTGCTGGAGCTGATAATTCGCAAAGGCCGCCTGCGCAGCCTGGTGCGCCTGAGCCTGAAGCGAGCCATTGACTGCGTACGCTCCAAGCGGGAGAGTCGAGAACGGTCCTTCGCCGTCGACGGGTGAGAGACCGTACTGGGCTGCTGCGGCTGCGAGTGAGCCTGAGAGGGCTGCTGCAGCTGACGAGGAGGGAGGGGCGGCGATGTAGGTTGATTGGGGGGCGAGGGAACCCGATGACGAGCCGATGAGCGCGGAGAGAGAGGGGATGCCGGGAGAGGATGAGGCGGAAGGGGAAGGGAGAGGAAGACCGGCGAGTCCAGGGGGAAGAGGAGGAGCGCCGCCGGTACCGAACAGGGTCGAGCGGGCTTGGTTGATCAGTTGGGCGTACATGTCGGGAGGGATGTTGGTGAATGAGGGGGGCATGAAGGAGGGGAGGGACGGAAGGCCCGGCATAGGAGTCGAGGAGGAGGCGGTGGTTTGCGCCGGACCTGCCGCGGAAATCGAAGCTGCGCGCGGTCGCACGACTGGGTTCACGACGACGTCCAGGACGGTGTGAATGAGCGGAATGGACGCACCTCGTGCATCACCACCTGCGAGCGAGCCGTCCGCATCCTCCGCCTTGATGAGGGACCTAAGGGCGTCGTCCGCCTCGCCCTCGCCTTTCACTGCATGTTGGTCCGCGCCAGGCTGGTCGGGAGCAGCCGCAAGGGAGAGACTCGGGAGGGGCAAGGGGCTGAGGAACGAGGATGACCCGCTGGGTTGTGGGTCTGAGGGTGCGGGTGCGGTGGCTGCGTGCGGGAAGGGGAGCGCGTGGTCTGGGTTGGATGGGAGGAGAGGGTCGTGGGTGTACGGGTGGAACTGGGGCGAGTGCTGTGAATGCGAGGTGTCAGCTGGGTTGTTGTGCGAGGTCGCGACGAGGACGGGGGAGGGGACTTGCGTGCGGGTTGAACGGCCACGCGTGTGGGTCGAATGCGAAGTTGTCGTAGTGAGCCATGCAGGACCGCACACTCAGTCCATCCACACACACAACACGAGCACACGACAGCACACAGAGCGACAGAGTCCAAGGTGGTCGTCGTCGTCGTCCGAGCGCGCCAAGTTCGCCGAGCCCGCGACCCGACACAGCCTCACCCTCACTCTCGCTCTCACACAGCTTCGTACTGCTACTTGCCACTACAGATACACTACCACAGTCAACCTCGACACACCAGCGAACGAGCGACACCGATCGAGCAACTCCTCCTCCTCCCCCCACCACACATCTTCGGAACCTCCGACTCGCTTCCGCACCGCGACTACGGGCGCAGGCACACGCTGAGCATGTCATCAGAGCAGATACCGACAGAGCCAGTGCGTTGAGACCGCTCGGGCGACCTCCAGTGCGAGCTGACACAGCGATCTTGCTGCTCCCCTCCTCGCTTGCCCCTCCAACAGGTCGACGCACCGTCCTTCCTCGCCCAACACGCGCCACACATCGACCTCACTCGCTTAACCAAGACCCCGCGCCCTCACTCGCACCTGACAGTCATCCTCAACCCTTCGGCCGGATCGCGCCATGCCCCTCAACTGTGGACGAACCTCGTCCAACCCATCCTTTCCTACTTCCTCTCCTCCGCACGAAACACCTCCTGGCTCGACTGGTCCGGAGAGGTGGAAGGAACCCGAGACGCGAGGGACGGCGAACGGATTGGACGGGAGATTGCGCGACAAGCGAAAGAGGGGAGGAAGGAGGTGCTGCTGGTGTTTGGTGGGGACGGGACGGTGCATGAGGTGATCAACGGGCTGTTGATGCGCGAGGATGGGAGTGTCAGAGAGGGGATCGAGGTCGAGTTGGTACTCATGTGCGTTCGATTACTTTCCTTTTTCTCGCTTCTCTGCTGTGCCGTTTCTTCCTCCTTCCCATCTGCTCTCGTCTCAGTCTGAACATCCCGTACCCTGACCCATGCACAATTTCCTCAACGCAGCCCAACCGGCACCGCCAACGCCCTCTACTACCACCTCTTCCCGCCCGAATCCGCCTCCTACCCTCCCTCTTCCCCCCTCTCACCACTCTACTCCCTCCTCTCCTTCCTCTGCCCCGCCCACTCAAGCACCTCCTCCCCCCATCCCCTACCCCTCGCACTCAACGCCCTCCCCACCGGCAAAAAGGTCTTGACAACAGTCGTATCCTCCACCGCTCTTCATGCGTGTCTCCTCCACACCGCCGAACGACTGCGCCACGAGCGCCCGGAGTTGGAAGGGACGGAGAGGTTCAAGGTTGCGGCGAGGGAGGAGGCGGGGAGGTGGTGGGATGGCCGCCTTATTCTCCACCACCCGAGGCGCTACGATCCTTCGACCAAGTCTTGGGTCGAGCAGGGGGAGGAAGAGGTGGTGAGAGGACCCTTCTCGTACCTCGTCTCGTCCCTCGTCTCGCGCTTCGAACAAACTTTCCTCGTCGCGCCTTTCCGATCCCCTCTTTCGCCGCTCGCGCCTGTACCGGGTGAAGCCTCAATCGACGTAATCGCGATCAGACCTCTCCGTCGACGGGCTACACGCGCGCTCGTCGAAACTGGAAAGGAGGATCAGGCGCGGGAGGGGTTCGTTGGGCGGTTGTGGGAGGTGACGGGCGAGATTTATGACGGTGGGAGGCACGTGGATGCGATGTACGACGACGAGGGAGAGGAGGGGAGCGAGGGCAAGGGAAAAAGTGTGGTGGAGGTTTGGAGGTGTGAGGGGTTCGAGTGGGTGCCGGTGCGTCCGACGTCTCGCTTTCTCCTCTCCTCGCTCCTTTGACTCTGACGGGACCGAGGAGTCGTTTGCTCGCAGGACACCCAGCAATCCTCGCCCGCAACGGACGCCTCTCAAGAATCCTCAGACTCGGACTCGGCACTCAAAGCCCGCCTCGTCTGCCTCGACGGCTCCCTGCACGACCTCGGTCCCAACGGTACTCTGCGCGTGGAAGCGCTCGCGGGGAGGGGAGTGAGGGTATGGGCGTAAGGGATGTGCTGCGGGTCGGCAAGGTCGAATGAAGAGGAGACCTCGGTGTGGTCGATCCGGGTGCATTGAGAGTGTTGAATTGGGTGAGCGGCAAGCGTCGCGAGTTGGCTGTTCGATTGGCGGGCATGCGATCCGTTGCGAGGGGATGACCACACTCAATTGCTTGTCGCGTCTCGACGCGTGCAGAGAGGACCGAGGTCGTTTGCCTCTCGTCTCCTCTTCCACCGCTACTCCGTCCTTGTCGAGGTCGGGTGTGCTAGAACACCCGTTACAGAGGTTACCAACGAACTCACACCGGCGCACGACTCGCCCGCCTCTCGCCAAACACCGCTCCACCTTCCCCCGCCCCACCTCTTGGGAGACGCGCTCATCACACACGCACCCTCGCCCTCGCACACCCGCATCGCACGAGATCAAGCCATGCCAGACCGTCCCTCTCTCTCACTCGCACCCGTCTCCGCACCCTCGCGCCGCCCAAGCCTCCGCCGCTCCCTCTCCGGCGCCGCCTCTTCCGCCTCCGACCCGGCTCCCCGCTCTCCCCTCTCGCAGTGCACGCCCGTGACGCCCCAGAACGCGCACTTCTGGGACTCGTACTTCCCTCCTTCTCAGCAACAACAGGGGACAGTCGCGCTCCAGAGTCCGCCGATTGGAGGACCGACGCAAGGAGGGTTCTTTGCGCCTGGAGGGGCGTCGTTTCCGGGACGACGGGCGCTGTTGAGGCGGAACTCGAGTCTTAGTAGTGTCGCGAGTTCGGTGCAGGATGAGGAGGACGAGGACGAGCCCGAGTGGACGGCCGAGGAGGAGGAGAAGGTCCGATTGGTCAGTCTCGCTCGTCCTCCATCCGCTGAAGTAGTACTCACCCGCTCGTCCGCAGGTCTACGAAGCCTGTCTCTCCAAGCACTTCACCACCGAAGCGCCCTTTCCCCTCACTGGCCCGCCCCCCTCAAATTTCACCAACACCGTTGCGCGCGCAATCCTCCGCACGTACGGTGACGAGCGACGAGCAGGCACGAGGCGGTCGAAGCGCCAGCAGGGGATGTTCTTTGCTGGAGGAGGGGAGAGCGAAAGTGAGGGCGTGAGTGACGGGAACGGGGGGAGGAAGTGGCCCCATGGGTTGAGGAGTACGAGGTTGAAGATTCTTGCTCTCGGTGCGTTCGCATCCCCTCTCCTTCCAGTACTCGAGCTGATCTGGATTCCAAGCGCAGCCAAGGAACGCCAGACGAATACGCGGACGGAAGACACGCCCCGACAGGCTGGCGACCCCGACGCGACTCCCAAGCGTAGGAAGCCTCTCGCGAGGCAGGACAGCATGGACTTCTTGCCCGACATGACCAACATGAGCAGCATCGCTCGGTGCGTTCGGACGATTCGGTACCTCTCCCGCGCGCGGCGAGCTGACTTGAGCCGCCTCACAGGTTGAGCAACATGCTCCGCCCGTCCGGCGGCGACTCGATTCCCGCTGCACCTCCGCAAGCGACGGCCTCGGCTCGCCTCCCTTCGACGGAGCAACTCGGCACCCTCGGCATCCCCTTGACGCGCTCGCTCTCGTCCCGCCCATCCTACCGCATGCAGCGCACCAACTCTCTCCAGGCGATCGCCGGCTCGCCCTCCCAGCCCGCTCGGAAGCGCCCGACTGCCTCCATTCCCGAGCCCGCCAAACTCGCCCCATCGTCAGCCGTACCGACGTACAAGCCCAACCCCGCCTCGTCCGCACGCATGTCGCGTACTGGATCCGAATCGAGCGTCCTCCCTGCTCCGCCGCTCGCGCGTCACCTCTCTTTCTCTGGCTCGGCGTCGTCGAAGAAGGAGTCGTCGTTCTCGTTTTCGCCGACCAAGAAGGGCGCGTCGACGATCAACCAGGGAGCAGGACTGCTCACTCCCCCGCCTTCGCTGTCGAAGAAACGCGGAGCAGGATCAATCGGCTTCTCGTCCTTCCTCTCGCCTACCCCGGCAGCGTCGGGCGAGAAGAACCCGCTCGGCTTGACGCTCGATGCAGGGGCGGCCAAGCGTCCCGGCCTCGCCAGCGCGTTCAACTCGCCCTTCGTCGGTACCTACCCGAGCCCATCGAGCGTGTCGCCCAGGAAGAAGAAGGCCAAGATCGAGCAGAAGACGCCGGTCAAGGCGCCCAGCTTTGCGCCGGGTCTTGGACTCGGATTGGGAATAGGAGGGATGGATGGTGGACACGAGTCGGCTTTGACGGCTGACTCGGGGTCGATGCGCGATGATGAGGACTCGCCTTTCTACGTCCGGCCGACGACGGAGCGCCCGACCGACTCGCTCCAGCAGGACGTCTTGTCGCCTCTCTCGACTCACCCGCCCAGCTTCACCCTCCTCGACCCGTCAATCTCAGGCTCAAGCCTCGCAGGCCGCCGCAATTCGCCACCCAAGCTCGTTCTGACGCCTTCGCTCTCTCCCTCTGCGTCGCCCACGTCTTCCACCTACTCTGCCTTCCCTTCGGCCTCGACTTCCGCGACGAGCCTGATGACGCTCGGCAAGACTCCCTCGCCGCTCGACCCGACATTCGACCTGAACGCACTCAAGCTCGAGTCGCTCAACCCTTCGCCGGTCAGCAGCGTCTGCGGGATGGAGGAAGACGAGGACGAGGCGATTGTGGACAGCGACGAGAGCGACTTTGGCTGCGACGGCGGGTCGAACACGATTTTGGCGGCGGAGTATGTCAAGGCCGGACATGAGGCGCGGTTGTTGCGCAACAGGCTGGGCGAGTGGGCGTGGGAGCGGAAGTGAGCGGTGGTGGAAAAGGTCTTCTGGGATCGGGTCTCGTTGTCTTTCTTGTCTAAGGCTTTCAGTGCTCCCTTATTCTCTCTTGTTTCTCTACCTTCTCATCTTCCTGTATCCTGCTCGTAGCGCTCCCCCCTCTCTCTCTCTCATATGCCTGTCGCAATCGGATTCCCAACTTGACGAACTCGAGTACGGGGGCTGACTTGCGAGATCATCACGTCCAGTAGAAGCTACGCTCTCGCACCGCCCGCATGCCCAACATCTCCCACTCCTCCTTGCGCACCCACAAGTCATTGGCGACATCGAGCTTAGCGAGCGCACTGATTCCCTTCCACGCCATATTCTCCGGCTCGATCTCCCTCGGACACGGGACATACGTGACGTGCCCTCCTCCGAGCGCCGGTACGCGCGCTGCGAGCTGAGGACCGATGCGAGACTCGACGGCGAAACCGATGTTGTGGATTCCGCCTGTCCCGCCGACGATGAGGATGTTGGCTGCGACTTTTTTGAGACGGTCTTCGGTCGGTCCGGCGGCCATGATCGACTCGACGATCGCTACGTCGAGCGGAAGCTTGGACGACTCGTAGCGGACGTCGACGGTGGGAGCGGCGCCGGGCTGGACGGCTGGGGAGGCGAGAGGGGCGGCTGCGGCTTTCGGTGTCGCGGCGCCAGTCTCGGGCGCAGGGGAGCCGGCAAAGGAAGAAGGAGCAGCGCTAGGTGCCGCTTGGCCGGGCAGAGCGGGAAGTGCGGAAGGGAGGGAGGGGAAGGTCAACGCGTTCGGGTCGTCGGGGAGAGGCGTGCCGGCTTGACTCGGCGCGGGCGATGCAGCGGTCGAGGCGACGCCTGGTAGGACAGGAGTTGGGGGGATGAGAGCTGCGACGGCTGCGGGAGCGGCTGCGGCTGACTCCGCCGCGACGAGAAGATGCTTGACCGAGTTGCGCATCGCTGCGGTCTCTTCGACAACGCCGATCTCGGTGGAATTGTCGACGTCCTTGCTCCACAGCGCAGGCATCTCGACGCGCTTCTGCTCGAAGTCGATGACGCGGGGAGCGAAGAGGGCCTGTCGGAGCGACGTCCGGTCAGCTTCGCGCACTCATGGCGAGAACGGATCGTGACGCACGTAGGGAGCGAGAATGCAGTCGTCGTACATCCGCATTGAGTACTTCTGCGTCAAGAGGCCGGGGTGGCGGACGAAAAAATCGTACAAGTTGAGCCCGATGTCGGCCTGAGCGGTGTAACAAGGTGAGCTTCGGCATGTGGAAGACAATATCGAGCTACGCACCTCGCTTAGGACGACCGAGCGCTCCTTGAGGTCCTCGAGGACGATCCAGTCGTACCACTTCGACAAGTCCGCCTCCTTGTACGGGAAATTGAGGCGCTGCAGGAGCGTATGCAGAAAGGACGTGATGTCGTCGCCGGCAAAGTCGAGGATCATGCTGCATGGCGAGACGTGAGTTCCTCGAGACCTGCGAGCGAGGAGAGCTGAACGCACCGAGTCTCTGGCAGCACTAGGCCTTCTTCGACGCAGGTGATCTTGGTCGTCCTCGCGCCGATATCGATCACGCACGCCGAGGTGACGCCCGCACCGAAGGTTGCGCAGATGCTCTCTTGCATGAGGCAGAGCTGCTTGAAGCCGATCGAGCCGAGCAAGAGGTCCGACATCTCGCGGACGTAGGTCTCGTCGTATAGGTCGGGAATGAGGAAGATGACGGCGTAGTCCTGCGCGCGAGTCGAGAGTCGGCGAGTGAGAGCGAAAGCGAGGAGAGGGAACCGCACCTTCAGGTCCTCCGGCTCGATACCCAGCTCTTCCTTGATCGCAGTCGTGTAGATCGTCTCGATGTCGCCGAGCAGCTCTTGCGGAGTGGTATATCCCTGCGTGTTGAAGTTGCCCCGCAGGAACGGCCAGCGGAGCTCGTAGCCCGACGCCGCAGGATCCGGAATGCGAACGGCCTGCACAGACGAGCACGGGTCAGCCCTCCGTCGCCATACGCGGTCTCACACGCCAGCGCACCTTGTTGCCAACCCATACAGGCGCCTCAGCCGTCGTCCACTCGATATCGCCCTCAAAGTCCTCCTCCATCTCCTGCGGCCTAACACTCTCGTTGAACGTCGCAGCCTGACTGTTCCCGTTTCCCTGTCCACGCAACTTGTACGCCCTCATCCGCGCACGCAAGTCGGCTCGGATCGAGCTGATCTTGGCGGAGAGAGGGTTGGTGGGCTCGCTTGAACGAGGTTTCGATGTGCCGCGACCGTCTTCAGAGCCCGAGCCCCACGAGTCGGCGTCGTCGTCTTGGTCACCGTCGCGCATGGCTGTGTCCTCGGTCGTGGCGGGTTGGGCGGCGCCAGGCAGAGGCGGTAGGGCGCCGACGGCGGGAAGGGCGGGGGCGTTCATAATCGATGGAGGTGCAGTCGAGCTGTTCATCGTCGTCGAGCCGTTGACAGCCGTCGCAGGACCCGCACCGTCCGCCTCAATCGCACGACCCTTGCCCTTGACATCCGCAGGAGTTGGAATCGCCCTCGTCGACTTGCGCGCAATGACGTTCGGCACGGCGACGGGCGTCAGGTCGTTTGCGCGACCGATGCGGAGCCAGCGCGAGCCGGGGTGAATGACGAGCGTGCGGGAGAGGGGGTCGGAGGCGGACGAGGGGGAGGTCTGCGAGCGGAGGGAGTGTCAGCGGACCCCGAGTGAGGTCATCCAGGCGGCGCACCTCTCTGCCCTGTGTAGCGCCGCCCTCGCGCGCCGGTCGCCTCCGCACCGCACCCTCCGGCGCCGAAGCGAGGACGTTGACCTCGACCCTGCCTCCCGCACCCCCTGTCCGCGCTGCAGCCGCCTCGACCTCTTCCTCGCTGGCCATCAAGCGCCTGCGCTTGGCCTCGCGGACCGAGTCGCGTTCTGCGTCGGGCAAGCGGCGGGCGAGGAACGATTGCGAGTCTTGCTTTGCGAACGACGAGGCGACATTCTTTGCGCTGTTGCGGGGGCGGGGACCAAGTCAGCCAGTTGCTTCTTGCTTCTGTCTCGCATGTGCTTTTTGAGGTGGACGCACTTGAGGAAGCCGACGGGCTGTGTGCGCGCAAGTGGGGAGAGTCGAGGTCAGCACGAAGCTGGACGAGGGTAGCTCGCTGTGACTGACTGCGAAGGTGGTGAACTTGAGTGCGTGCCCTGTTGGGTCTGCGCGTGTCGCTGGCCTCGACGGCATCCGTGTGCTCGAGTTTGAGAGCGAGTGTTCGACTTGGGCGAGGTGCGTTTGGCTGGCTGACGTGTCGAGCGCGCAGAACTTGGCCCGCGCCTCTCTCGCTCGCCCTCTCTCTGCCTCGCTCATATCACTCGGCTCACTTTGCACAACAAGCTGGGGCTTGGCTGACTGGCTCAGGCGACTGCTACACTCGACTGCATCCCCTGTCTACCTGCTCAGCCCGTCCGCACGCGCTCTTCCCGCCGCACCCGAACCTTTTCCTCGACATCCTGGGTGAGTCTCCCTCTCCACGCCCGCACACTCCTCCAAGCAACACACACACACCCTCAACATGATGACCTGAGCGCATTTGGCACGACGTGTGGCGTCCTTCGACTCGCTGGCCCTCGGGCTGGCGGGTCGAGGGGCGTCGCCCACTGGAGAAAAAACCTCAGCTACCTTGCCGGGAAACCGGTCCTTGTCTGACACCCACACTCGCACGACACACTCGCACACACTCGCACCCGATGCAGCCCGCGCGCGGCGGGAGTTTGAGCAGGGTTCGCTGACCTCGCTCGCTTCCCTCCCGCACAGATCCCAGCTTCGCCCTTCCCACCGCCCGTATCTCCATTCAGCCATGCAATCACACCGCGTTGAGCGCCATACGGAACCGCGCCTCGTGTCGGGAGAAGTCAGTCGGCCTCCCCTCGAGCTCGCCTTAGCGATCGATTCGCTTCTTCGCTCGTCTCTGGCCGCAGGGTCAGTCTGGTGGAGACGGTTCCCTGATGGCGGAGTTCTGCTGAAGGCGGGACGTTCCTTGAACGCTCGAGGACGTTAAACGGCCGGAAGGAGTCGCCCTCTTGAAGCGCTTCCGTCCGGCTCCTCACATCTCGCCTCCCTTGACCTTCTCTCGCTCGTCTCCCACATCTCGCCTGCCTCAACCTTCTCTCGCTCGTACTGTCCAGCGGTTCGGTCCGCTCCACAGGCCCAGCTCGCTTGGCTGGCTTAAGCCTTCCACCACAGCGCTCTTGCGACCCTGCGCTCCCCTTTACTATCCCATGCTAAGCGCTGCCTTCAAAGCGTTTGCCGCCTTTCTCGCGCTACGAAGACGACCGTCTTAGCGACCGCGACGCACGCACACGGGCTTGGCCTTCTGTCTCGACGCAGTCGCAGGATGGTGCATCTTCTTCCCGCGCTTCTTCACTTTTTCTGGGCGGCGCCTTAACTGCTGCGACCCTCATTGCGCTTGTGACGACCACTGCACTAAGGACATCCTCCAGCTCGCGCGCAACCTCCTCAGCAGTCCCACACTCTTTCGACGCTCTGCCTTCGCAAGCTCCTTTCCCGCTCTGTGCGCGAAGCCGTCACTTCTCTGCTCCTACACGCTCCTCGCAGCGAGTCGCTGCTGCGGGATGATTCGCTCAACCCTGCCGGAAAAGCTCGCTGTAGCTGCGCCCATTTGCACTTCCTTCTTCGCTGCATGCTAACTTCGCTTAGGATTGAGGGCGATGCTGCCCCAGTCTTGGTTGCGGGAACCGCCGATACCTTGCTCGCTAGGCAAGCTGTTTCCGTCAAAAGCTTCCCGAGATAGCTTCGCAAGCTCACGCTGAACCTCTCGATGAAGCATGGTATGAAGAGCGGAAAGCGGCCGTTCCAGCGGTCGCCCCTGGGCGCGTCCCATCGCCTGACTCTACATCCTCCCTAGCCCTTGCCACCAAGCCCTTCTCTCGTCTGTGCAAACTCCCGCTCGTCTCAAGGTTCCGTCTTGTCCATCTTGTCTGTCCGCACCGGCTCTTCGGCGAGGAAGGCAAACATGTCGCGGTTGGCGATGCGGGATTCTCTGCGAGCCGGAAGGGGAGAGAGAGAGAGAGGACGGATTGCGTAGATGGGCGGACGAGGGCGGGCGAGAGAAAAGAAGGAGATGTGGGCGGAAAGGATAGGAGGAGGAAGCGCAGCGAGCGGAAGAAGGAGGCGAATCAGGACGGTGGAATGAGGGTGGAGGGGAGGGACGGAGTGTCGATAGAGTGATGCGAGAAGAGGATGCGTCAGCCTGCTGTACCAGGAACAGCCGCAAAATCCTCCGCCCAACTCTTCAACGCTCGTCGTACGACGACGTTCCTCTCGTACACACGCTCGGAAAGGAGAGAAAACGTGAACGCACTCAAACCTCGGCTCGAAGAACATCCTCGTCTCGTCAAACCGCTGCTTGTACGCCTCGAAGCTCCCGTAGCGAACCGTGTCGCTCCACCCGCGCGCAGCGATGACAAACTCGGCATCATCCGAGCTGAATGCGATACCGTGGCCGCCGAGCCTTCCCGCCGCCTTGATCGCCGCCTCGAGCCGCTCCTCGTCGCGGAAGAGGTACTCGGCGACTCCGATCCAGAAGCGGAAGACGGGTGTCGCTGCGAGTGCAAGGTGGACGAATGGCCGGATGCGCAGTTGGTGCCAGCAGTCGACCATGGCGAGAAGAGCGAGATGCGAGTTGGGCGGCGGTGCGGGCTGGTTCGGGGAAGGATCGCCTATCGCGAAGCGGTCGAGGACCGAGTCGGAGAGGAGGATGGGAGCGGGCTGGGCGTCGGGTGAAGAGCCGTCGGTCGAACCGAAGACGAAGTCGCGAGCTGCGAGGACACGTCGACGCAGCTCTACCTCGTTATTCTGCACCATGAGCTTGAAAAGGTCGCTCGCCGATTGCGCGTACTGGTGAATCTGCTTCTGCGCCGTCGGATTGAGGATCGCGAGTCCGGCATAGACGTGCCACTTTGCCGCGTAAATTCGAAGCGTAATGTTGATCTTGACGACCTCGATCCCGCCGATGTAGCGTCCGAGCTCCCACGGGAATTGACCAGTGCAGCGCCAAGCGGTGCCCATGCTGTCGAGCTCACCGCGTCAGCGCGATGCGCGGGATAGGGGACGGGCCTACTCACGAGAGGAATGCTGCGTGAGTTACTGCCTGCGTGTTCGCCGTCACCTCGTCATGCTCGTCGTACGACAGGTCGACGTAGCGAGAGTTGAGCGGTGCGAGGACCTCCTTGACGAAGCGGACGTGCTCGTTGTCGGCGCGATGCTGGATGATGATCTGCGGAAGTGCGCAGGTCAGCGCTGATTACAGGTCGCTGGTGAGAGCTGTCGTACGAGTGCTTGACCGTCTGTTGGGACAGTTGGTCCGTGCAGCGAGTGAATGGAGACGATGTGGACGTCGGCGGGAAGGTGCTTCTCAAAGGCGGCTCGTTCTGGAGCCTTGACAGACGTTTGGCCAGACACGATGGCGCCGACCTTTGTAGCTGGCGCACTTGTACGTCAGCTCATGGTTGGGCACGCTCGGGGGACTGGAAAGCAACGCACAAGGCCCGTACTGCGCGACAACCTTGTCCACGTACGCCGCTTCGACCGAGTAGATGATGAAGTCGCTCTCTCGCGAGACCAAGTGACCGTCTCGCAGCGGTACGAGCTTGTCCTTTCCTGCGGGCGGTCGCGATCAGCGCCAAAAAAGCCCGGGAGCACAGAGGAAGGCCAATCGCACCCTTGCAGTACTCCACCAGCTGGTCGTACCTCTCCGGCAGATCGCATACGTTGATTCTGTCATTTGTCTGGTCAGCTTATCGCGGCGGGTTGGACTGCCGCAGAAGAGACCCACTTCTTGCACTGCCCACCCTTGCTCAGTCGCTCCGCGTACATCTTGCCCATCTCGCCCATGCCGATCAGGCCAATGACAGCTTCCGAGACGGGTGGTAGTGCCGGCATGTCGGTCAAGTCGCTGAATGAGGAGAGGGTCGCTGCGGAAAGTCGAGGAGAGTGGGGAAGCAGGACGCGGTACGGCGCAACGGAGCAGGCTGTCGGGCGGCACCAAGTGAGGGAGGAAGCTTGCTTAGCAGTCCGGACTAGCGCTGCCTGGCACGTGGGCGGGAAAGCCAGGGACAAGAGGAAAAGAGCGAACTTGACTTGGAGATGCGAGCTGGCCGAGCTAGCAGCAGCAGAGCTTGCGAGTTCGCATTCGAGCTCTCGCAAGTGTGACAAGCTTTCTGCAGCTCGCCAAGAACGAACGCGGTGATGCTTCGTCTGCGAGACGAGGTCGTGAAGGATGCGTTGCAGGATAAAGAGGGCCCGCACAACTCCGCCGTTCTGTTCGTACCGTACGGCCTGTACTACTCCTCCGACCAGTCTGTACGTCCCACTTATCGCGACTGCAGCCCATCCGCGAAAGGGAGTCCGGCGAGTCGCCATGAGAGGGACCTCCCGTCGCCGCTTGTTGCTGGTCGACGAGAGTTGAGGGTCGATCTGCGCGAACACCAGGCCACTGGACTAGGCGTGGTCCACCTGAGTGCGAACCTAGCGTGGCAGTTAAATCGCGTTGTGATATGGAGGAGGTCAAGAGAGGCCGCCGCGTGCGAACACAAGTCTTTCCTCGCATACACTCGCTTACCACGCCCCGAACAGCTCGCATTGGCATGACGGAGACTGCTGGAGGCGCGCTGCCGCCAGGGATGGTCATTGGACCGGACGGGAAGCCTTGCAAGGTGCGCTGCTCCTCCCCTCTCCCTGCTTCCATCAGCGAGGGTCCAGCGGCGAACCTCGCGGCGCGGATGCTGATTGAGCCTTTCCACAGGCTTGCACAGCTTTCCGGTCGTTCGCCGGCTTCAAGAAGAAACCCGGGGCGCAGTCATCGGCGGGAGGAGACGCTTTCGCCGCCGGAACCCCCTCCTCGACTTCCTCGGCAGCCGGTGCCGTCGCCGCAGGCGGTGCACTCGCAGGTGCGACGGCTGCAGCAGAACCAGTTCTCCCTGCCGACTGTCCGCCCGACGTCGAACGGCTCGGCAGACACACCTGGACGTTCCTTCACACGACCGCCTCGTACTTCCCTCCTCAGCCGAGCCAGCATCAAAAGTCGTCGATGCTCGGCCTCTTGCGAGCACTCCCCACACTCTATCCCTGCGGCGTGTGCGCCGACCACCTCGGCGAATACATGAAGACGCATCCGCCAGAAGCCGCCGTGGAAAAGGGCCGGGAGGCGCTCGAAGGTTGGCTATGTAATGTGCATAACGAGGTCAACGAGCGGCTCGGGAAGGACAAGTTTAACTGCGCCAATGTGCCGCAGCGGTGGAGGGACGGGTGGGCGGATGGACACTGTGATCCCTGACCGGGAGATTCTTCCTCGCCTCGCATCTCGCATTCGGCGCACGATCTTGTTGTAGTAACCTCGCATGTATTCTCAGCTGACACTGCTCCATCAAGCGACGTGCGCGCCTTCCATCTCTGCACCTTCGGCAGCCGCTGCCGCTTCGGCCTCCTCCTCCATTTCCTTGACCGCAGCCTTCTCGCCCTCCGTCAGCGACTGCGCTGTCTCCCCTCCGGCCTGAAGCTTGCGCTTGGCCTCCTCGTACCGCCTCAGCGTCTCAGCACGTCCAATTGCGCGCTTGCCGATTCGCTTCGCACCGTCCTCGTCGCCAACCTCGCTCGGCGCTCCGTTCGACCCGGGCGCGGCGCGCTTCATGCCTCGTCCGACCTTGCGACTCACCCGCGGCGCTTCGTCATCCTCGCCTCCGCCTTCGGCAAACTCCTCGTCTCCCGGATGGTGCAGCAACGAAAGGACCGGGTAGAGGGATGCAACACTCGGCTGCTTGGCGTTCTCGGGTTGTTGAGCGTACGCCGCGTCGAACAGAACCGCGTCAGTTGTCAAGGTTGGCAGCGCCTTGAGTTGTCCATCCTTGCCGAGCGAAACGCGCATTAGAGGCGTAGGCGGCTGTTCGGAGTCTGTTGCGGCGGGAGGTAGGGATGGCGTGCTCGTGTGATCGAGCGACACGAGGAACTCGCACTGCGACTCTGCCGACGCGGGGATAGGTGTCGGGACAACATCGAGGATGGGATGTGCGGCTCGGAGGAGGGAAGGTGCTGCATCGGTCGAGGGTGCAGCGGCAGGGTGTGTGGGCAGAAGAAGGGAGAATGAGATGTAGAGTAGCGCAGTGCTGCCGGCGACCAAGACGATGATACCGCCGTCCTCGCGAGTCGTTCCCACCTCCACCATCTTCACCACTGCGAGACCCTTCGCCAGCTCGGCTCCGTGAGCTGCAGATCCGCCGCCGCCCTCTTCAGCAGCGGCGTCCGGGTCAGGCGTCGCTGTCGCATCGTCTCGCTCCGCCGCCTCGCCTTCGTTCGAGACCTCCTTTCCCTTTCCCTTCTTCGTGCCTTGCTTGTTCTTCCGTCTCCCCGCAGGGACGGGCGTCGGTGCTTCGGGGTGGACGGAGATGTAGGCTGAGATGATCTCCTCGATCGGGAAGCGCGAAACGAGCTCGGCAGAGGGCAGTTCGAAGACTTGGATGGAGGGGTCGGCACCGGCGCACAGCAGGTACGGCGGAGAAGTTGCTGCGCTGGAGGATGAGGGTGCTGGAAGGTACAAAAGCGACGAGACGAGTCTGTTTCATCGCAGGTAGTCGAGTCAGCCTGGCACGCAGCCGGGAGACACGGTGAACGCACCGCTTGCTTCCCCAAGCGAACTTCTCGATGACATGTCCGGCCGGGAAGCGAGAGATGCGCACATGCTCGTCGCGGTCACCGGTCGCGATCCAATCCCTCGCCAACCCATGCGCCGGGTCGGCCGGGATGAGCGCGAGCGTGTTGAGCATCGAGACGTGCCCGAGGATGGGTTGCGGCTTCGGCAGGTCCTCCGGTTTGACGTTCGCTGGGACAGCTGGTGCATCGAGTGGGAAGCTGTGGCGCTTCAAGGGTTCAACGTCTCTGCATAGCGAGCCGAGTAGGCCAAGGAAACGCACATGTAGACGTCTCCGAACTTGTCGCCCACCACGATGTCGCCAGACGCAGTCACCTCGAGAGCATTGGCGCGCTTCGGCAGGTCACGCGAGCTGAGCAGCTGCAGGTCGGGAAGCGAAGAGACCTGGAGGAGCTTGTCCTCGCCCGTCGATACGAGGTACGCCTTCTTCGCCACGTCGTCCGTGAAGGTCGCAAGGAGGCGAATCAGGCCCTTGTGGTTGGTCGTTGACGCGATGGGTGCATTCGTCCTGCGTGAGCACGCCGCCGCAATGTCAGCTTCTGTTTCAGCGAGGAAAGGGGACGAGGGGAGCTCACGCAGCGTCAAAGACGGTCAGCTTCGTGTTCGAGGCCGTGACGATGTGTTCTGTCGTGCTAGCAAGTACCTGCACAGGGTGCTCCATGGCAGCGCGGGCCGTCGAAGCCATCGGTCCAGCGGAAAGCTTCATCGCTTGCTTCATCTCTCTCACCTCGCCAGGCTTCCTCGCAGTCGACCAACTCGGAAGTTTCGCTAGCATTCCCAGACGGCCTGCGAGCCTGCTTATTCTCGCCTGCGCGACGCCCATCCCCGACAGCCTTCCCCATTCCCGTCCCGCCTCCTCTCCCCACCTCGCCGACGCGGCCAGTATAGCACGGCTCTCAACTGGCGCCAGGCTTCCAGCAGGGCATAGCCGCCATCCAAATCAACCCTCTGCATCACGCTCCGGCAACGTCCGACGCCCGCCTCGTTCTCCTCGTCCTCCGCCTCCTCACCTTCTCGCCGTCTCCCTCCCCGCCGCAGTCATCGAAAATAGCAGTCGACATGCCGTCATATCACTACTCTTTGCCCCTCGCCGGCCTCATCTTCCTTGGCCTCTTCCTCGCGTGGCACTACCGACACCGCTACGTTGATCGCCTGCCGCGCTCCGTCTCCTCTCGGCTACGATACTACGCGCCTTTGCGAACGTTTGAGGATGCTGCAGAACAAGGTGGGACACTCTACATTATCCCCGCTCAGCCGGAGACTGACTGGCACCTCGGGCTTGCAGGCTTCTCGACCTCCAACTTCGACTTGAGCGGCAACATCTCGGGCGACCAGCGCGCCGGGCTCGACGACCGAACGCTCACCGAGGTGAGGAGGATCATGGAGCGGGAAAATGTCGGGTTTGACGAGGCAAGGGTCATCCACATGAACCGCATCTTCCGCAAGAACGGTGGGCTGTCCCTCTCTTGCTTTGCTATGGTGGATTGTGTTGACCCTGTTGTGCTGTTCTGCAGGCATTGATGCAAATGGGTTCCCGATTGGTGAGTGTGCATCCCTTGAGGCTTGCTGGCCGCCTCGTGCTAATTTCCTTGCTTTGCAGATCCGAAGGCCATCACTTCATTGGGTTAAATCTGCATGTCTCCTCTTCAGTCCCTCCCTGTTGTACAATGTGACATTTCTGTTCGTTCCGGGTGTCTCCCTTGCAAGATCTCTTCACCGCAAGGATGTTCCGGTCTTCTGGAGAGGTATCGTTACAAGGTGGTTCTGGCAGGAGTCCGGGAACATTAGCTCACCTTGGCTGTTGTTGTATCTTCTGTCCCGCACCTGCTCGAGCGCCCGTGCAGGGCAGAATTGCCCGTGCCTGCAAGGCATCCGAACAGTTTCACGATACGCCAAACTCAACCTTGTTGGTTGCTCTACCAAGCAGACACATCATGCAAGGTCAATGAAGCACCTGAGCGGCACACAGCGTCCAGAGGGTTAGGGCGGTGGCGCTTGAGGGCGCTCGCTTTGGCTAGTGGTTATATTTGCACAAGCAACTCGGGCTCTCAATAAGGTCCAATAGTCTAGTTGGTTAGGGCACCGCATTGTGGCCCTCGAGATCCTGCGGAAACCCGTGTTCGAATCACGGTTGGGCCAAAATCTTTTGCTACCGGGTGCTTTTGGCATCCGAAGCGATGCATACACAAACAAGCACGACTCCTTTTTGCTCCAACAACACTGTACATTGACTTAACATGCAAAAAGGAGGTGCCCGTCAGGAAAGACAGGAAGAAAAGGTAATGACCGCACCCAGGTTTGAACTGAGGACCTTATCCGAACCATTGAATGTTAAGGATACGTGATGACCAACTACACCATGCAGCCGCCGATATCAGCAGCGTGATATTTTTGCACATAGAACGCTAACCGGCCTATTGTGTTTGATCCTTTTTTGCACTGCCCCACGACAGTCTTCGCTCCAGTCTTGAGATCTCAGCATCTAGTGCAACGACTGTTCCAAAGGCAATGATGCTAGAGCATTCGTCATGGAAAGAGTCATGCGCCAATGCATATGAAGCATGCTAGGTAAGCCCCCGCTGCATGTGTTCTTGCTTGTCTGGCACTCTCGTCACCTTGGGCGGGCCAGCCAGAATATTGCTTGATCAGACCTTGTCAGGCAGCTGCTGCAAAGTTCAGCGGGCCCACTTCAGAGCCAGGACACGCAACTTGTGCTTGTTTGGCAGTTGCAACAAGACTGGGCATTTCTGGATTAGGACATGTAGGAGACAAGAGTGTAAAGGGAGAGTAAGCGTGCGGAGAGGAGTGAGGGGACAACATGTAGTGACCAGTCATTCGTCAAGGGTGTCGGCGGCACGAGGGGAGCTACGTTAGAACCAAGCCGTGTTTCTACATTACTCCCAGCTACGGAAGAGAATACAAGTTATCTGGGCTTGAGTTCTGACAAAAGCAAGATGCAGCCTGAGGAAAGGAGAGGGATGCTACCGCAAGCCCGGGTAAATTCCTCCCTCGACATCCGTCTCATCACTCCTCCTGCAACACTGTGAACCTGTTGTAGTATTTGAGTGAAGGCAAGGGCAAGTTGTGAGATGAGGGCAAAGTCAAGCGAGTGCGAGCTCAGTTTGCAGAGGTGGGGTGAGAGTTTACACAACAGCTACAGTAGATCAGTACCACAGAGTCCGTCTTGTCGTTTCCAACACTGACAGGCAACTGGTCAGAGGAGTTCACAGAGACAGGTCAAAGCAAGTGAGCACTGCAACAAGGCACAGCCGAGAACACTGAGAGAGTTCGGAGAGGCCGGCATGCAAGGCGCACCGTCCTCAGCGCGATGCGAGGACAGGCGACTAGCGTAGTTGATGGCGGACGAGCTGTAACAAAACTGATCGATACTGATTCGGGTCCTGTTCCAGAAGTGAGTGCGAGAGCGGAGGGGAGCGCTAAGGAGAGAAGAGAGAAGAGCGAGGAGCGGGAGGTCTACGAGCTAGATCGATCACCCAACAACTGTCTCATCATTCACACCGCTGCAGTCCTGCCATGACCATGTCCGTTCAATAGGAGGAGCGAGTCGAGCCGAAGGCGAGTCGAGCGAAAGAAGGCGAGTCGAGGAGACCGGAAGAGTCGAGGTTCGAGGAGCGGGCGTAGCACGGCACTTGCTACATGTCGTTGACTTGCTCAGCTTCCTGGTCACAGGAACTCTTGAGATGAACCTCCATTGTCTGTGATGCCTTGTCTGGCTGTGGCAACAAGTGTCACTACAATACTGCCTGCGCCGTGCAAAGACAGTTGCTGAACTCGGTTTTCTGAGTGCCAGCACTGTGCAACAATGCTCTGGCACCACCATCAGCCTGCTGTCCTGAAGAAAAGAGGACAGGTGACAATTTCAAAGAGAGAGAAGTTCTTCTTTCTAGTCATATCGCGGCTAAGCCCATGTAGACCGGCAGGGACTGACTGCCACAGCGCATGACGTGTTGGATGGGGTACCTACTGATGTGGAAAGGCTATAAGAGGTGGAGCAATGGTGGAGAGTGCAGTGGAGCGGAAAAGTGAGTGTGAGAGTGAGAGAGTGCGATAGAATGGGAAGGAGTGAATTGGGAGGACGCAGCGTAATGGGCTGGTAGAGGGGTGTGTGTGGAGCTGGAGGAACAAAAAACGAAGCCAAACAATTGAGAAGCCATCGAGACAATGCCATTTTTGATCTTGACCTTCTTGGACCGCGACAACGACGATGCCCACAGTGGAGACGAAGATCGTCACCGCGACGGCGGCCATGAAGCCGCGGAGGAGGACCTGCATCAATCAGTCAGCTGGGCGCACTTCTGGAAGTGAATGCCACACACCCTCGAGAGAACTGCATCGAGAAAGCCAAGTCGGAAGTATCCAAGTCTGCGAGTGAGGAAGATCAGCTTGAATGGGCAGCCCTTGCTCATTGAGTGGACGTACAGGAAGGTCAGGAGACCGCTCTCAAATGCAATGACCGTGATGATCTTAGCGATGAACTTGACTCGATGCGCATCGCTCATCCTGCCGTGCGCATGCTCCTCCTCCTCGATGAACTTGGCGATCGTCTCGCCTGTGATGAGCGACAACGCTGCTTCCGGTCCAACCGACAGTTGGCGGCATGTTCCCATCGCCAAGTAGATCATGGCGGGTACAGGTGCGCCAAAGAGACCGTGGACGGGATCGGTGTGGACCAAGTTTGTTGCGTAGGACATGCTTTGTGGCGCGATGAGCGAGGTGAGCTGCACTTTAGACTGGTCAGCATGTTCATCAAGCTCTTGAGGCGTCTCCGAACGCACCGTGAGGGCGGCAATGACATCCCGCATGAAGCTCTTGAGCGAGTAATGCGGAAGCCACTGGAGGACCTGCGACGCCAACTTTCGACGTCAGCAACATGGTCGGCTGACGTTTGACAGCTCCTAGTATGCACAGGGATGTAGTAGCGCGCCCGACGGTACAGCAGCTGCCATCTCGTCAAGTCCTCCTCGACCCTTTCGCACTTCTGCGCCCATTCGGCGGCTTGTGAGAGGCGTTCAGGGAGAGTGGCAAAAGCTGTGCACCCATGAATGTCAGTCAAGCCGCTGAAGCCCCTTTCCAACCAGTCTAACCGCCGTCATCTCCCTTGAGGGGACTGAAACGCACCAACTTCTGTCCAACTCTGCGATGTTATGCTGCCCGGCCTCCTTCCTTGGCCTGGACTCCTCAAATCACTCTCAGAGTCCGTCCTTGTCTGTCCCAGCCGCGCCAGTTCCGTCTTTGTCTTCCTCACTCGAGATGACAGAGGCGGAGGAGACGCGAGCAGGGGTTGGCGCTAGCCGGTGCGGAATGGAGACTCCGTGACAGGCCTGTTTGTTACTCGTGAGGGTGGCTGTGACATGCTGGCGGGTGTTGCGGGAGGTGCGTGCGTTAATGAAACACCCGACCTTGTCATCACATCTCAGCAACCATTGGAAGGGGGAGCTGATGCTTGCGAGTGACACGCTCTGCCACTGAGCTATAGAGGCTTGCTTGAGGGCTACCACTGTCTGTGAGGCCTTGTGTGGACATAGCAACGAGTGACACATCAAGTTTCACAGTGTGCTGTCTCTCGTCGTCTTTTGTGGAGCCCATTTCTTCAAGTGCAAGCACCATGTGACAGTGCTGCAGAACTCTCCAACGTCAACTCAGAAGATGTCTGATTAAGAAGGGCAGTCAATCGAATCTGCTTGCTGTCACAGTACATACAGTGCATGCAGCAAGGTAGGTAGGCACAAGGCTGTACCCACAAATCGCTGCCCCACAAGCGTTGCAACAAGTGGACTCTCCCATACCTGCAATTGTGGGTGTGACTTGGTGATACTGAGCTGTCAAGACGGAGCAAAATTGACACTGGAACAGCAATGAAGCCGAAGTGGCTGCCAGAGCACAAGAGAGCATCAGGGATCCCCAGCCAGGGGCCAGGGCTAGGCTGGAACTGGACAGCACATACCTAAAGGGGTCTGGCTAGGGCAGAACTGGTGGAAGGTGCACAGGGAGACAGGGGAACAGCTGGCAGAGATGGAACAGCAACAGGGACTGGTTCTCAAGCTGGTGAGAGCCATCTGCAGTAGCTGGTGAAGATGTGAACCTGAGGCCAAATGGAATCCACAAACCTCAGAGGGCAATGACAGTTGACAGTGCCAACAACTTGGTGAAGTGATGACACCCGTATCACCAGCTGACAAAAGGTGCAGGGACCTTGACATTGCCTGGAGAGACTTGCTTGGGGACAGAGAGGCTGGCATTGCTGCAATGGAAGATATGTAAGAAAACAAGTCAGCAAGAAACGGGGGCTGAAGCGAGAGACGAGGCACCAGACACATTGTTGAGGTCGGCTTCAATCGTGAGGATTGCCCTCACAGAGTCCTGTCTGGTTATGCGTTAGGCGAATATGTAAGGTGCAGAGGAAAGGCGCAGGGACCGTAATGAAAGGCGAACGAAGTGTCTGTTGGGAGCTTTGCGAGGGCGAGAGCCTTAGATCACCAGGACCAAGGCGCCCGCGAAGGCTGCTACCGCGCCAACGGCGAGGCTAGAGAGCAAGTTGCTCGAGAGAGTTGCGCCGCTCGTCTTGGATGGCGTGGCGCTTGCTGCGGCGGCGGCAGCGGGAGAGGGTGCGTTGTTGGCGGCGGCGGAGGATGATGACACTGCGGAGGATGCGGAGCTCGAGCTGGAGCTGGACGAGGAGGCTGACGACGAGAGTGCCTCTGACGAGGAGGCTGACGACGAGGGCGCCTCTGACGAGGGTGCGGCAGTGGGAGAGGTTGCGGGAGCGGAAGCGGAAGAGGACAAGGAGGACGCGGGCGCGTTGATGTCGACGAGCGAGGTCTCCGAGGAGAAGGATGCTGAGGAGGTCGAAGAAACGCCGACAACGGTCACCTCGCCGTTCGGGAAGTGTACGGTGAGACCTTGCGACTGGATGTGTGCCGGTGCGGAGGAAGACGAAGTCGCGGCAGAGGAAGAAGAGGAAGCCGGAAGAGCGGAGCCCGACGACGAGGCGACGGTGTTGACGGTGAAGAGGGGAGAGATGTTCGACGTTGAGCCGAGGAAGAGGAGGTAGGTCGAGCAGGTTGCGAGGTCGGCAGGGAGAGGGAGGGAAGCCGAGCCAGGGCCGGATAGGATAGGATAGGATAGGATAGATTCCGAGTTTAAAGTCGTTCAGGCCTGGAAAGGCCCATGTCGACTTGGGGCCGCCTACGAGGGCGAGCCGCCAGACGCTACAGGAGCTACGAGCGGGAGTGGAGCATACAACTGAGGAAAGCGATAGGTAGCCAGGATATAACGAAGCAGAGGCCGGAAGAAGCGAGGAGAGAAGATCTTGTCCATCTTGAGGTTCGACGACCCGATTTCGCGCTGGAGCCGCTGACGCTCGTCCGTGTAGAGCGAGCACTCGAGGATGAAGTGCTGGCGGGTCTCCACCACCTCGCCGCACTCGCAAAGTCCCGTACCAAGTCCCATCCTCGCCTTCGACGATCCCAAGTCGTTGAAGTCGAGCCGAAGCCGGGCGAGGAGGGTGGAGTGGACCCTGTCAAGCGAGTGTAGGGCGCGTATAAAGGGTGGGCCCGGCGGGCGAGCGTCGACGGAGCGAAGTCCGGCGCCTGGCGATGAAGAGAGGGTCCATCGACGAGTCCATTCCGCAAGCAGAGCTGCGCGGTGCGCCTGCTTGAGCGATGAGAGCGATTTCGGCAGCATTGTGCCTCCTTTGACGAGCCCATCGGGGCCCGCAAGCGTTGAGGAGCCGAGACGACCGAGGCGAGCGACTTCGCGCTCGAGGCGAGTCGCCCGCTCCTCCTCGTCCTCCTCCCACCCGCTCTCGTCCGCTGACGACAAGCTGCTGCTGCCCTGGCTTGGCCTGAACATCTTAGGACCGCGTCTGCGCCCGCTGCGCCCGCCCGCAAGTCCTCCCTTCAACTTCCCCACCTCGTCATCACCAACTCCCGCCGCCCTCTTCGCCTCTTCGTCTGCCAACTCGGGAGTAGAAAGAGACGTTGCCGAGAGGGTGCTCTGCGTGCCGGCGTCTGTCAGCGTCTCTTCCATGGCTGTGCGACGACGCTCTACTCACGAACGTCGAGGTTGTAACCGCTGCCGGGGTTCGACTCGTCGAGGAAGCCAAGGATCACGGGCGAAGACTTGTGGATCTGGTTGTCGGGGATGTCTGGCTTGGTGTTGTTCCTGCAAACCACCGGAAGAGGCAAGGTCAGTGTTGAAGCTTTGAGCAAACCAGAAGACCGTTGGAGATGAAGAGCCTGCTGAGAACGAGAAAGCGCGCATTCCCCACGGAGCGCCAGACTCGACGCGTCGTTCGCTTATCACCTTCTTGGCGACAAACAGAACTTCCTGCTCGCGTCCAACGACGCCTACATGTCCCAACCATCCAAGCAGGCAAAGCCACGTCTCACGAAGGACCAGAGTGCAAGATCACGAGCCCCAAGTCAACATGGGAAAGCCGAGCGAGACTCACCAACTCAGGAGAAGCTGCCCGCCGGCCTGAAAGACGTTTCCCTTCTGAGGCTACGTGATGCGAGGCCAGTGGTCAAGGAGCTGAACTCCCTGCGGGATGTCTGCAAGCTGTCGCGGGTCGAGGGTTGCGGACCACTCAATCAGGACGTTGTCTTTGAGGAAGGCGCGGGGAGCAGTGGGAAGCGCGAGGGCGGTGGTTGCGAGTAGCAGCAGTGCAGGCAGCATGGTGAATTGGGGCAAGAGGTCGAGGAAGTCAAGGGGTGGTGAGGAGGACAAGAAGGGAGGCGCGACAAGACGAGGT